AATTATAGCATCATTATAAACAATGACAATATCTCCTGCTTCATATCTTCACTTCGAAGCCGGCAGCAGCAGCAGTTCCTGCTCGGTTCGGAGTAGTTGTAGTAAAATAGTTTACTAACTGAAATTAAAACAATATGTTGCCATAAGTAAACTTTTGTAGATATTGTGATAGTTTCGTTGTTGTTGTTGCATTTTGTTATTGTAGAAATATCTCAGTTGCAACATTGCCTTCATTAAAGTCCTGAAGTCTTGAACTAAAGGCAATGGATATAAAGTGTTGGCAATACAAGAATACGAATTAGACTTGTTGCTGCGAAGACTTGTGCAGTGTGATAGACGAGACAGCGGATGGTAGACAGTAAGTCAGAAGGGCATTTAAAATTTCTGAAGGCCTATCAAGGTGTAAATTTTTTAAAAAAATATTTTCTGGGTACCGAGCAATGATTTTTAAAATATATTTTCCTAGGACCGACCCAAGCGTAGATTTTTAAATATATTTTTCTAATACCGATCCTAGCGTGGATTTAAAAAACAAGTTAACAATATTTTAGCAGACCAATTAAGGCCTAGATTTTAAAGAAATATATGGGCCTATCAAGGGGTAGATTAAAAATATATTTTTCACACCCTGTGAAGTGGTAGATTAAAAAAATATTTTCTAATGGTCTATCAAGGCGTAGATTTTTTAAGAAATACATGTTTATAAGGCCCATTGTGGAGCCGATTTTGAAAAATATTCTCTGCTGACCTTCCCAAAGTCCTCAGAATATATTTTGAAAAAGTACAAGCATTTTTGTATCTACTGCCTACCATAACTGAAAAGGACAGAAACTGCAAGTGTTATTTGCATATGCCTATGTTTGGTCAAAATAGACTAAGTCCACTTAGCAAATTATTTCAATAATTATAATTATATTCCGAACAAATTATAAAAAATATATATCCGTTGCGGAATAACTTTTTTAGTTTCATTCTTTCATTCATTCATTCGTTTGTTCGTTCGTTGTTTTTTTGTACTTATCCCTTTTTCACACTACCATAAAACTTTTAAATATTTTTCTTTATGGTTGCAAGTTTTTGAGTGCTGCATACACACATATGTGCACTGCACAAACACACTCACATACAGAGAATGTAAGACAACTGGTGCCATTGTGTCTGCGATTATTATCTTATTATAGTTACTCATGGTTAAAAATGTCTGGAATACATAGATACGCGATTAGCTTCCTCTTTTTTTCTTTTGCCAGCCTTGCAACTTCCAAACGACTTAGTTGATGATGCGACTTTTACGTTCTTCTTCGTCTTTTAGTTTGTCTTAAGAAAATTTGAAAATAAACTTTAGCCAACATTGTTTTTCCGTATTCAGCAGTTTGGTTTGTTTTTGTTATTGCTACAAAATTTAATTTATGCCTGATATGCAAAATTTGCTATTAAGCGCGAACGAGAGCAACTAAAATAAAATCGTGTAAATATATTTAAAGATGTTGCAGGAAGGGAAAAATCAAACAGACGTCCTTGGCTGGTACATGCAGGTAATGGTGCACAAGAAAATCCAATTAATTTTTTAAACAAGGCGATGATTTTAAACTTGAGATGAAGTGGATAGGGCAACACGTCTTTGAGTACCTTTAATATAGTGCATAAAAGATCAATAGACTATTAGAAGCGTGGATTTTTTAAAAAAATATTTTTGAGTACCATGTGAAGCAACATCCACGCCACTATATGGCGTGGATGTTTTAGAAAATAGTTTTTGAAGACCACTATTGATTTTTAAGGTCCACGACAATCGCGGGTTTAAAAAAAAATATTTTTTTCAAGACCACAACAGGTGTGGATTTCAAAAAAAAAAAAAAAAAAAATTAAGGACCACAATAGATGTTGATTTCAAAAAAGTATTTTTTCGAGGACCAGAACAGGCGTGGATTAAAAAAAATATTTTTCGAAGATACCTAAAAGAATTGGCTTTTTTAAATAGATATATATAAACCAAAATCAGCCTGCATTTTTTAAAGAGCCATATCTAGCTATATATATTTCATAAAATATTTTTCAAGGACAAAAATCAACATGCATTTCTTAAAAAGATCCATAACAGACCAGGATATTTTATAGAATATATTTTTAAAAACCAAAATAAGGATTTTTTCAAGGACTAAAACAAACCTGAATTTGTTAAAGAATATTCTTTTCAAATCCTATAAGAGGCCTGGTTTTTTTAAATATTAGAAATGTGGATTTTCTTAAAATAATACTTCTTCAAGGCCTATAGAGGCCTTTTAAGGCCTATAAGAGACCAGGATTTTTTAAATAGCTCTTTTTAGGGCCTTCATTTTTTAAATATTTTTTTTCGAGGCAATTAAGAGGATTTATTTTTTAAAGAATTTTATTTTCAAGCCTGGCTTTTTTTGCGAGGCATATAATTTGGGATTTTTTTTTTAAAAATATTTTTCAAGCCTGGAGTTTAATAGAGTATGTTTAAGGCCCAAAAGATGACTGCATTTTTAAATAATATTTATTTTAATGCCTATATGAGATCTGGATTTTTAAATAAATAGGCCAATAAGATGCTTGGATTTTTTAAAGAATTTTCGAGTCGTGGATTTTCTTAAAAGAATGCTTTTTTAAGGCCTATAAGAGACCTGGATTTTCAAAATAGCTCTTTTTGGGGCCTATAAGAGCCCTTCATTTTTTAAAGAATTTTTTTTTCGAGGCAATTAAGAGTAGAGGGTTTTTAAAGAATTTTATTTTCAAGCCTGGATTTTTTAAAGAATATTTTATGCCCTAAAAGAGGCCAGACCTCGTATAAACGAGGTCTGGTTTAAAAAAAATATGTTTTTTAAAAAGGTTATAAGAGGCCAGGATTTGTTTTGAAGATATTTTTTCAAAGCTTGCATATTTTATAAATATTTTTTTCAAGTCCTATTAGAGGTCTGGATTTTTTAAAGAATATCTTTTCAAACCCTATAAGAGGCCTGGATTATTTAATAAATAAGAAACGATGTTTTTCAAGAATATAAGAGGCGAACATTTTTCCAAGGCCTGTAAGAGTTCTGAAGTTTTTATGAATCCTTTTTTTAGGCCTATAAGATTCCTGGATTTTTTAGAGTATACCAGCCCTTAAAGAGACGTCGGTTTTTCAAGAATATTTTTCAAGGCCTATATAGATTTGGATTTTTTAAAAATATTTTTGAAGGCCTATAAAATGTCTGAATATTTTAACGAGTAGCTTTTGTAGGCGCATATGAAGCCTGGATTTTTTTTTTTTTTTTTTTTTGTGACGTTACGCCTACAAGAGCCCTGGAATTTTTAAAGAATATTTTTTTAGACCAATATGAGAACAGGAATTTTTCAAGAATATAAGAAGCGGTGATTTCTTAAACAATATTTTTTTAAGGCCTGGACTGTTTAAAGAATATTTTGTCCATGCTTATAAGAGGCGGGGGTTTATTAATGATATTTTTTCAAGGCCTATAAGAGAGTTATTTTGTTTTAATTTTTCCAAGGCGTGTAAAAGAACAGGAGTTTTTCAATAATATAAGGGGCGAGGATTTCGTAAAGACTTTTTTCAAGGCCTATACGAGCCCTAAAATTTTTAAAGAATATTTTTTGTCAGGCCTATAAGAGTTCTGGATTTTTTAGAGACTATTTTTTCAAGGGCAATAAGATACCCGCATTTTGTAAAAAATATAAGGGGTTTGAATATTTTAAACAATATTTTATCAAGTCCTGAATATTTTAAAGAATATTTTTTCAAGGGTCATAAGAGGCCTCGTTTTTTTATTATTTTTTTAAGCCCTAGGTGTATTTTTGTTGTATTTTTGAAGAATATTTTTGCAAGTCCTGGACTTTTTAAAGAACATTTTTGCATTCCCTATAAAAATCGTCGATTATTTTAAGATTTTTTCTCTATACCTATTAGAAGCCTGGATTTTTTAATGAATATTTTGTCATGAACCAAAAGCCGTCCTGGATTTTTTAAGAATATTTTATAAAGGGACAAAACAAATATAATTTTTTAAACAACACTTGTTATTGTAATCAATCCATTTTAAAATTTATGCTGCTTTAAAATAATATTAAATATAAAAAATCATTATGAATAATGTTTTCATATCTCCCAAATCGCCATTAAACCGGCGGCATTACCAGTTGCCGCCATAAGCTGGCCGTCCGGCCGGTCGGTCGCCTGTCATTTGTTATAGATGACATATTTTTCTCATTTTAATATTCCTGTTTTATGCGAAAAAAATAATTTCGATTAAATTTTTATAGTTTGCGGGCATAAAACATATTTTTTTATTCGTAATTCCAATATTTGCTGGAATATAATTCATCAACATTTTATTTCCGTTATATTTTGGCCACAAACGTTATGCACTACCATTTTTGTGATATCATCCCTTTCACTCCCTGGTTCACTTTTCTCTCTTGGCCGTAATAATAAATGTCGCCTATATAATATTTGTATAGATGTGTATATGTGACTACCAGGATATTTGGTTATGCGATGATAGCAGCAGTGAACTTGGTTGCTTGGTGGTTAAGCAAATGTTCATTTACAGGGACAATGGCGGAGATGATGATGACGATGATGTTGCTGATGCCGCCGGTGGCCATGATTCACAGAATTATTTGTTACAGAGCACACCAGGAGCTCCCAAAAAATATATATCTTTACATACATTCCATGCCATGTAAATGTTGGTGTATTTATACGCTATTTTTACACTTCATAAAAAAATACTCCGGACCATTATCTCTTCCTGGACCTTTTTTCGGTTTTACATCAGGAAGGCAGCACAAAAAAATGTTATATGATTTGGTTTTGCTTTCTATATTTGTGTGTGTGTGTATTTGTCTGCCGAAAAAAAAACTTTCTTTACATATTTTTTCATTTCTTTCTCCTCCGCCTCTTCTTCTTTTTTAACTTTTGTATGCAATTTGTCACTAATGTCACACTTGGTTTTTTCTCTCCATCTTATCTTCTTTTACAGACGGAACTTTCACACAATCTGCAACAATTGTCAGAAAAGGCACGCTCCACAACAGAATTCATACAACGGCTAAAAGGAATGAGTGACAAAGTAACGGTAAGTTGAAATTTGTATTCCTTTTTATTACACACTTTTTTTAGTATATTTTTGAAAAAAAAATCCTCAAATTGTTGCTGGTGTTGTCATAAAAAATTCCGGAGTTTCTCAAAAGTCAAAGAAAATGAAAGCCCCCCTAGGCTAAAAAACCGGGCACCACATAAAAAGAACAGAATTTATGTTTCAGCGGCAGGCATGCATTGCCTTTCCCGACTCGTCTCCTTCCTCCTACTCTCTTCCAATGCAAATGGTGTACGATTGTAAAATTCTTTGCATTTGTTTTCTTGTTGTTTGCCCTCCCCGAGGCATAGCAATGAAAAACCAGAGTCATATAATTTTTTTATATTTTTTTCCACAGCGCTAAGCTTAAAATAATAAAGTTTTACAAAACTTAATATCTTAATTAAGTAAATGTTGACTGAGCGGATGAGAAGTTGGAAGATGTCGGCGAAAAAAGCATGGAGTGCAAAAAAAGGATTGTGTGTTGGGCATTGAAAATCCCATTATAAACCAGATGTAATTTTTCAAAAGTTATTTACATGGAGTTTTTTAAAGGGGACTTACTTTTTTTCGCAGTACTAGTGGAAGTGTTTGTAGAAAGGATGAGATCAACAATGAAGAAAACTGAATCAAAGCTTAAAAAAAAAATATTTTTAAAAAGATACGTCTTGAGATATACTCTAAAAAAATATTTAAAAAAATGCACGCCTAGCGATATGCTTTAAAATTTGTTTAAAACAAATTACGCTTTCAGGTATACCTTAAAAAATATTTTAAAAAATTCCCCCTCGTATGCTCTAAAGAATATTTTTAAAAAAATTACGTTTTGGGATATACCTTAAAAACGGGGACGACTATATAAGGGTATCATATAGTCGTCCCCGTCCGACTTCGGCTACATACAAGAGATGTTAATAGATAGAACAGACATAGAATCATTGGCGGGACCATTGAGATGGAATCGGGCGAAATTAAATCTGCTATCTAAATAGATATTTGAACCAATTGAAATGAAACCCCACTATTTACATAAAATCGGACGAAAAAATTTATAAGACCTATATCAAAATCTGAAGCGATTTCAACAACAAACGTTTCAACACATCATTTTTCCTTAATTGCATTCGCTATTCAACATTTCTCAATCGTAAAAACTATATATATACTATATATATATATATACTATATATATATACTATATATAAATCTGAACCAATTTTAAGAAAACTTCGCAGACATCAGTCTAGACCTAATTCAGTAGTCTGTGCAAAATGTTGTCTTAATCGGACAAATATTGAGAGTTTGGTGTATCATTCACAAAAAATCGGACGAAACTATATATGGGAGCTATATCTAAATGTGAACCGATTTTAAGAAAACTTCGCAGACATCAGTCTAGACCTAATTCAGTATTCTGCGCAAAATTTTGTCCCAATCGGACAAATATTGGGAGTTTGGTGTATCATTCACAAAAAATCGGACGAAACTATATATGGGAACTATATCTATATATAAACCGATTTTAACAAAAATTCGCAGACATCAGTCTGGACCTAATTCAGTACTCTGTGCAATAGTTTGTCCCAATCGGACAAATATTGTGAATTTGGTGCATCATTTACACAAAATCGGACGAAGCTATATATGGGAGCTATATTTAAATCTGAAACGATTTTCTCCAATTTCAATAGGGTTCGTCCTTGGGCCAAATAAGTGAACTGTGCCAAATTTCAACCAAATCAGATCATAAATGCGACCTGTACTTTGTTCACAAAAATACATGGACGGACGGGCACACTTAAATCGACTCAGAAAGTGATTCTATGCATATTATCAAAAGGAACCATGGGTCTATCTCGATTCTTTTTGTCTGTTACAAACATGTGCACAAAGACATAATACCCTGTACCACAGTGTGGTGAAGGGTATATAAATCCACGCCTTGAGATATGCTCTACAAAAATTTTACCATAAAAATACTTTTAGGAAAACCACGCCTTGAGATATGCCTTACAAAAATATTACCATAAAAATACTTTTAACAAAAACCACGCCTTGAGATATGCTCTACAAAAATATTACACATACATCGAAAAATATTACCAGAAAAATACTTTTAACAATACCACGCCTTCGGATATACATCGAAAAATATTTTTAAGAAAACCACGCCTTCGGATATACATCGAAAAATATTTTTAAGAAAACCACGCCTTCGGATATACATCGAAAAATATTTTTAAGAAAACCACGCCTTCGGATATACATCGAAAAATGTTTTTAAGAAAACGACGCCTTCGGATATACATCGAAAAACATTTTTAAGAAAACCACGATTTCGGATATACATCGAAAAATATTTTAAAAAATCCCAGCCTTATAAGAGACCCTCAAAAAATATTTTTATAAAAAATCCACGCCTTATTAGAGACCCTCAAAATATATTTTTATAAAAAATCCACGCCTTATTAGAGACCCTCAAAAAATATTTTTATAAAAAAATCTACGCCCTATAAGAGACCATCAAAAATATTTTTAAAAAATCCACGCCTTATTAGAGACCCTCAAAAAATATTTTTATAAAAAATCTACGCCCTATAAGAGACCATCAAAAATATTTTTAAAAAATCCACGCCTTATTAGAGACCCTCAAAAAATATTTTTATAAAAAATCTACGCCCTATAAGAGACCATCAAAAATATTTTTAAAAAATCCACGCCTTATATGAGGCCCTCAAAAAATATTTTTAAAAAAATCCTCTACATTTTTTAATACCTCCTTGTAATTTGTCCTGTACCTTTACTATGCAAAAAAAAACGCCGTGAAAAAACACAATTCAACAAATCCCAGAAATTAGTCAAAGAACGTTAAGTACGAACAACAACAACTACAAAATACACAGAAAACCAACAACATAAATTGTTTGTAAGAAATCTTAAAATCCCACTACATACATTTGTTGTTTGTAATTTCCTTTGGTGGATTTCACGCTGGCAGGCAGGCAGGCAGCTTGCCCGGTTGATTGGATCGTTGGGTCCAGACAAATTACACTTAATGTTTATGAACTTTTTATAGTTTAAATGAAGACAAAAAGGCCGGGCGTAGAGGGCGAGCTTTTTTTTACCTTCACACACAGGTAAAGAGCTTGGCAAAGCGAAAACAATCACAAAAAGGAAACCTGCTCGCCAAAGTGAAGTAAAGGCGTCTGGTTTATATTTCCTTGTAATTTTCTTAAGCTGCCTTTTTCCTCGCAGATTGTTTTTTTGTTTGCTCCAAGAGTTAGTGAGGATTTTTTTGTGTTTCATTTCTTAGTCCTTTCTTTGACTCTATGTGAAATTATGTTTAATTTGTTAAGAGAAGTTTTTTTCTGTGTTTTCTTCTCTCTTTGATATTATTCTTTGGGATTTTTCCATGAGTTCCTGCTATGTGGAAAAGATGCAATATTTTTTTAATTAAATTTAGAATTTAATTTTAATGGAATTTTTACTATTTTTTCTTGTTTTTCTATTTTAGGAATCCTGCATAGAATTCGAGAGACTAGTCACAGCCCAATGTGAAGCCCTCATCCAAGCCATACATGATCGTCGTGAATATTTATTAGAGGCCATACGCATGGATAAGGAGACAAAAATTAGAATATTAAAGGTAAGAAGTGAATTTACAGTTAAGAACAAAATTTTGTAATAAAATATTTATAATCTTATTTATTTTTGTATATTTGTTATTCAGGATCAACAATCAAATTGTACCGGCAAACTGCAACAGACCACTGGCCTTATTCAATTCTGTATTGAGGCCTTAAAAGAGACTGATAGTGCTGCATTTTTGCAGGTAAGATGATAAACACATTTTATTATTTATAAAAAAATATTCTGAAAAAAAAATCCACGCCTTGTGTGAGTCTTTGGCAAAAAATAATTAAAAAAATCCACGCCTTGTGTAAGTCTTTGGCAAAAAACAAATTTGAAAAAAATCCACACCTTGTGTGAATCTTTGGCAAAAAAAATTTAAAAAAAATCCACACCTTGTGTGAATCTTTGGCAAAAAAAATTTAAAAAAAATCCATGCCTTGTGTGAGTCTTTGGCAAAAAAAAATTAAAAAATATCCACGCTTTCTGTGAGACTTTGGCAAAAAATATTTTTAAAATATTCACGCCTTCTGTGAGACTTTGGCAAAAAATATTTTTAAAAAATCCACGCCTTCTGTGAGACTTTGACAAAAAATATTTTTAAAAAATCCACGCCTTCTGTGAGTTTTTGGCAAAAAATATTTTTAAAAAATCCACGCCTTGTATGAGTCTTTGAAAAAATATTTTTTAAAAAATCCAAGCCAAAATCCATTTTTAAATTCAATATATATATTTTTTTTAATTTCGAGATTCGATTTTTGAGGGTCTTTAAAAATCCTTTGATCGCACTTTATTTAATTTACCAATTATTTTTTTTTTTATTTTTTCCAGGTTGGTTCAATGTTAATAAATCGTGTTGCCAACACCGACATGACTTGGCATCAGGAAGTAACAAATGCTGCCCCAAGAGTATCTCCCATTGTGGACTTGACACTGGATGATGCTGCCGTTTTAAGATCTATTGATAATTTGAATTTCATTCAAATGAAACGTAAGTCCTCAAAACTATTTTCTTAGATAATTTTAAAATATCTAATGCAGCAAAAAGTGAGAAAAGAAAAAAAACATACCTTCCCATAAACGTCTTACTAAAACATTCGCAGCTAAAAAATTTCCAAACTAATGGAACCCATAAAATATGCTTTAAAACTAATAACAAATGGGTTAACATAAATATCATCTTCAAACATTTGTCACTATCACTTGTTTCCGCTCTGTTGAGACAACCACAACAATGTCATAATTTGTGATAATTTTTCATAGTGTAACAATCTTTCCTTCAGACCACATTACATTTTCTAGCTGGGTAACAGCTGTTGCCTAGACCCAACAAATCACCTGACTTGGAAACATGAAATGAACATCACCACTTATATTGTAGCTGTCGAATGCTTCTCCCAAGGAAATTCGATACTTTTTTCCAATGCTTAACATTTGCCTGGTGCACATGGTTCGGCTGCGGCTGCTTAAAATCTAACCTTTCATAGAGCAACACTAACTTATGACTCATTCAAATTACCGAAAACATGGGAAATACATTTTTTATAACAAGGAAGAATATCGAATTCAGGAAATGGAAACCATTTCTAAAAAATTTAATATTAACAAAAATATAAAATTATTTGTATTACAATCCCAAAAATCAAATTTTATACGAATTATACACGAATTAACCATTTATCTCATATTTTGTATCTGTGTCTCTCTTTCAATTTCTTTCTCATACAAATTATTCATACATGCTGCTTTGCTTACTAAATTTAAAAAAAAATATATATATATATTGAAATCAATTGTATGCTAAAAAAAAAAACAAATTATAACGCTTGTGTATATGTGTGTATTATAATAGCTGCCAAAGATGGAGATGAACGTTTGCCTGCAGGTGAGATGCTTGATGAACACTATATCAGCAATACATCATCATTTACCACATCCATATTGTCCACAAATACCGTCATCAATGCCTCATTATTAGATACCAACACCAACAACACCACCACAACCAACAACACGAACAATATATTAGCCAACAACACCACCAATAATTCCACCATTACCAATCTGATGACGGCTATGGCAATCAGTGATTGCAATAAGACCTCAACATTACGTTCCACCAAATCCAATAAATCGTCATCATCATCATCCTCCTCAACAACACTGTCCCTGAAAATGAATGCCTTTAGAAAATTGATCAACTACGATGAAACGATATCATGTACGCATAGTAATAATAATTTGCCATTATTATCATCTACTTGTTGTATTCGTATGTATGATTTTTTTATTCTTATTTTTTAATTATTTAAAATTGATTTAATTTTTTTTACAATTATTTGATTTTTTTCAAAATTATTTCCATACTTTCTTTCCTTATTCATCAATTTCTTCTCTTCATTGTCATTTTGTCATCAACAAACACACACACATACATACCTATATACCACTCTGTCATCTCATCTTCTTCTTCATATTGGTTTTCGTTTCATTTTTTATTTTGTAACTAATTTTTATTACATACCTTTATTGCTCAAAAGGTTCTCCATGCCCATAAAAATTTAAAATTCATTGCGTAGATGGTCTATAGATAACTCATGAAAAAAATCAACAAAAATCCAAATTCTCAAATTTGTAAGACTTCTATTATATCTCATTTATTCTACCCTTTATCCTAAAATTATTATTCCATTGTTCCGATACTCCTTTAAAAAGAATCCACCCTAATGCTCAGATGGTCCTTGACAAATATTTATTTGAAAAAAAAAACCCCCGATGATAATTCAAAAATATTCTTTTAAAAATCCCTAAAATATACAATATTAAAATATTAAATTTTAAATGGGAAAATTCTTAAAATAATACCGATTGTTCTTGAATAATAAAATAATTCGTTCAAAAGTCCAGGACCTTGAAATGTGTATATAAAAATCCACGCTTCCTTTCATTTTTTCATGAAAAATTTCAAGAGGTCCTTATTTTTCTCATTAAAAAAATTCATGAGCCTCCCCAAAAATATTCTAAAAAATACAGTGGCCATTAACACTTTTTATATAAAATATATAAAGTGGCCCTTAAAACTATACTTTAAAAATCCAAGAGGATCATAAAAATAATATCTTAAGTATTCATGAGGTCCTCCAAAAAATTAAACACAATCTTGTAAGTATCCCGGAAGTGCCTTAAAGTATTCGTTCAAAAATCTACACTTATAGGTCTTATAATCCTTGAATATCTATTTTTAAACAATTGGAAACAATGTTAATTTACGCCTACGAATCCTAATCCTAGAAAAATCCTACCTTATGAATCTGATAGGCCATAAATATATTTAAAAAAACCAATCCGATATCCGTTATAACCCTAAATTTTTTTGTCATTCTACGCATAAGGTTCCTTCCAAAAATTCAGTTCTTCCAAAAATTCAAAATCAAGGTTGTAATAGCTTCTATGGCTGTGATAGTCCCTCAAGCTTATGGATCTGATCTTTGCCCTGATCTTCGCTTATCGAACTGTTAGCTATTGATTTTTTTGAGAACCTCGCTTATCGAACTGGTAGCTATTGATTTTTTTAAGAAACTCGCTTATCGATCTGGTAGCTATTGGATTTTTTAAGAACCTCGCTTATCGATCTGGTAGCTATTGGATTTTTTTTTAATCCTCGCTTATAGATCTGATAGCTATTGAAATCTTTGTTTTTAATCCTCGCCCTTGGCTCTGATGGTACCTTAAACAATATTCTTTAAAAATCCACGCCCTTGGCTCTGATGGTACCTTAAAAAATATTCTTTAAAAATCCACGCCCTTGGCTCTGATGGTACCTTAAAAAATATTCTTTAAAAATCCACGCCCTTGGCTCTGATGGTACCTTAAAAATATTCTTTAAAAATCCAAACCCTTGGCTCTGATGGTACCTTAAAAATATTTTTTAAAAATCCAAGCCCTTGGCTCTGATGGTACCTTAAAAATTTTCTTTAAAAATCCACGCCCTTGGCTCTGATGGTACCTTAAAAAATATTCTTTAAAAATCCACGCCTAAGGTTATGATAGTACCTAAAAAAAATTCTTAAGAAAACCGTGCCTTTGGCTCTGATGGTACCTCAAAAAATATTCTTAAGAAAACCGTGCCTTTGGCTCTGATGGTACCTAAAAAAATATTCTTTAAAAATCTACGCCTAAGGCTCTGATGGTACCTCAAAAAGTATTCTTTAAGAAATCCACGCATGAGGCTCTGATGGTACCTCAAAAAATATTCTTTAAAAATCTACGCCTAAGGCTCTGATGGTACCTCAAAAAGTATTCTTTAAGAAATCCACGCATGAGGCTCTGATGGTACACCAAAAAATATTCTTTAAAAATCCACGCCTTTGCCTCTGATACACCCTCAAAAAATATTATTAAAATATTTTAGAAACCACGCATTTGGCTCTGATAGTACCTCAACAATTATTCTTTAAAAATTCACGCCTTTGGCTCGGATAGTTCCTAAAAAAATATTCTTTAAAAAATCCACGCATGAGGCTCTGATGGTACCTCAAAAAATATTCTTTAAAAATCCATGCCCTTGACTCTGATGGTATACATGCCTTTGGATTTGATGGTAACTCAAAAAATACTTTCTAAAAATCCACGCCTAAGGCTCTGATAGCATCTCAAAAAATATTCTTTAAAAATCAACGGCTTTCACTCTGACCACCACGCCTTTGGCTCCGACAGTACTTCAACATATTCTTTAAAAATCCACGCCTTTGGATCTGAAGTATTTTACACAAAAATCACGTCCAAAGCTCTAATAGTTCCTCAAAAGGCCCAAGTATCTGATTGACCCTCAAAGGCTCCATGTTCAAATCCTTCAAACAATATTTTTAAAACAAATTTACGCTCAGAGATTTAATAGCCCTCAAAAATCATTTGATTCTTAACCTCGGTCACTCTTCAGTAGTGTTCATCCCAATACAGCTACTTTTGAGTAGAGAGCTTCTAAAACCAGCTATTCTACAATAGTGCCATTCTGAGGCCAACCTTTAACCATAGGGGTTATCCAAATTCTAAAGTACAGACCTTTCTACAGTAATGACATTCAAAGGCCTCTTGTTCTACAATCGAATGGTGAGGTCATATAGGCAGCTTGTCTACAGTTAAACTATTTAAAGGTCAGCTATTTTACAATAGAGGCATTCTAAGACCACCTACTCTACTACGACGTACTTCTAAGTCCAGTTGGCACACATTAAAGGGCTCTAAGGGCTGTTTATTTTAAACTTCTGACCTTCTCGGACCATCTACCCCACATTCCTAGCCTTCTCATGCCATCTACCCCACATTTCACTCATTCATATTTCTTTCCTCTCTACCTCCTCATCTCTTCCCTTTATTTAAATTACTCGCAATTATTTATGTCTTATATTTATGACATTTACACCTAATAACTAATTTGAAGGAGGTCCACCACAAAAAATAAAACCAAGTGCCAAAGAAAAAAATTACCCCAAAAATGGCTGACATTGCGATACCTTTCCGGTTTTCTACACTACCTTCCGTATATACTTTGTCTCTCCAACTCCCCATTTCTTTATTGGTAAAGTAATATTTTATGTTACAATTATGTCCTGTAGGCCAATGTTTTCTTTTCTGCTGGTGGCCATTGGTAAACTTGAGTTTCTTATAATTTCCGGAATCTTAAGTTTCCTTTCGGTTTTTGTTTCTGTTTACATTTTCTTTTGTTTATCAGAGAGAAAAACAAACATCCTTTTTCCACCCAAAAAAAATTGTATTATAATTTATTGTTTATTATAGCCTTAAGTCATAATAATTAAAAGTAAGAAATCATGGTAGTCGTTCTATTAGCTCTACTACACTCAGGCTTTAGCTCTATCTCTCTCACACACACACTTGTCCCCTTGCTATCCTTTACACTCTCTCTCACACTCTTACACACACACACACTCATGTACTTCTTACTATCCTTAACACACGTACTATACTCCAGTACTCTCTCTATCGCCCCTTCCTCTCCCTTTACCTATTCCTTTGTAACACTTAACATCTTTTTCCTTCTTCGTCCTTCCTTTCATATCAATTTTACTTTTTAAGCCAAACAGTAATTTGCATTTATGCTAACAATGTTGTTGTTGTTATTTTTTTTTTCTTTTTTTAATACTGTAATGTATTCCTGTGGTCTGCAGCTCCTCAACCACCTGCAATTATACCCGAAGATTGTTCGGCGGAAAATAATTCCGTTACTGTGGCGTGGCAGGCACCAAATCATTCCTTTGTTGAGGGCTATGTCTTGGAATTGGACGATGGCAGTGGTGGAGAATTTAGGGTAAGTACACTCTATGGACTCTGGGTGGGGCAGTGACCTCCCTCACTACTCCTCCCTTCATTATTGGTTTATTCACACTTCTTGTACTTTAAGAAATTGTTTTCTCCGAATATTTTTTTACTGCTATTCTAATTTATTGTTAAATTCTAATGTAGTCTAGGCTGTTTTTTTTTTTTTTTGTTCTAATGCCTTTTTTCTCATTTTGTTGTTGTTTTTGTTTTCATTTTTCCAGGAAGTTTATTGCGGCAAAGAGACCATTTGCACCGTTGATGGCCTACACTTTAACTCCATGTACAATGCCCGTGTCAAGGCTTTCAATAGTGCCGGCGAAGGTGAATACTCAGAACTTATTGGCTTACAAACGGCTGAAGGTAAGTGTAAAGTGTTTTTGTTGTTGTTAGAATATACGAAGTTTTTTTCTGGGATCTCTGGTTACCTGTATACGCTTGACATCAGTTCAAAGTTCAAAGCTCTTTGGTAGTGTTGCTATTTGACGCACCATAAAATAACTTGGACAGTTTTTCATTGCAATTTTTTCAATTAAGCCTATCACAAAGGTGGTTGAAGGAAGAACAGTGGGACAAAAAAAAAAAACAACACCAATGTTGCAACTCTTAACTAAATTACTTGACTTTGGAGACCAGAAACGCTGGCTACTATACATCAGAACTAGTTACACTACATTATATTTCACCAAGTCCGCTTATTCCACGTCAGAGGTCTCATAAGACTTGCTACTCTCCAATAGAGGTAGCTAATCTACATCCCTAAGTCCAGTTACTCTACAGTAGAGGTCTTATAATACTAACTACTGCAAGTAGATGTCTCTGAAGTTAGCTATGTCAGATACATCTAAAGTCAATATATTCTACAATAGAGGTCAATAAGGACAGCAACATTACATCAATCGCCTCTACAAACAATAATTCTACTCTAAAGAGGCCTCTAAGAACAACTAATAAGCTACACTTACTTTAAAGCAGGGACCTCTAAGGCCAGCTACTCTACACTAGAGGACTCGAATACCAACTACTCCCCAGGAGAGTCTTATCTTATCTACAATAGTGACCTTTTAAGGTCAAGCAGATGCCTCTAAAGGCAACTACTCTACAGCACGAGTTTCTAAAGCCAGCTATTCTTCGAATGAACTACGTTAGAAGCCTTTTAAGACAGTTACTCTACAGTAGAGGCCTCTTTAGGCAGCTACTTTACATCAGGTCCTCCAAAGCTACTGTGCAATAGAGGTCGCTAAACTCAAAAAAATTACAGTTGAGGTCTCGAAGACCAGCTATACTATAGTAGAGGCTTTCAAGACCATTCTATTTACATTATTGGTTTTGTAAGGTTTGATACTTCGTACCAGATGCCTCTCAAGGCAATTACACTGCAGTACTGGTTTTCAAAGCCGGCTAATCTGTCATAGAGGCTGCTAAATGTAGCTAATGTATGGTAAAGACACATAAAACTAGCTAATTCTTATCTTAGACCTCTAAGAAAAAAAAACTACGTTAGAAACCTTCTAGGACAGAGGGCTTTTAAGGTAGCTACTACAGTAGAGCTCGAAGACCAATTTAAGAGCAGCTTATCTACGGTAGTGACCATCTACTGTCAGTCATAGCAGATGCTTTCAAAGTCAACTAGTCTACAGAATGGGTTTCTAAAGTCCGCTACTCTGCAATAGAGGCCGTTAATATAAAGGATATACACATAAGGTCAGCTATTTCTTCCATGGACTTCTAATAATCTTCGGCAGAAGTTTTTCTGGATAGCTATTCTACAGTAGAAGTCGCTGAAGCCAGGTTCTTCACCACAGAGCTCTCTAAGGCTAGCTTCGGTAAAATTGAGGTCTCCTTAGTTGCGTACTGCACAGTATAATTCTCTAAGGCCAGCTACTGCACAGTAGATGTCCTAGGAACAGTAATCTGCAGTAGGGGTCTCTCAAGGCATCTACTCTATAGTGTATACCTATAATGCCTGTCAATATATATTAGAATCTCTAAAGTAAACCATCGTACGCCTCTATGGTAAGCTAATCTACATGGGAGATCGTTTACACGACAGAGGGATCTACGATCCGAAATGACCCGAGTCTTACTAGGCCAACATCTGTCACTTCAGCCTATTTTGTAAATGCAATAAGGCTGCTACCACAACACAGAAGGCCTATAAGGCTACGTCGAAGCTAATCTAGTCCATATCAGAGGATTCTATTACATCAGCGGTTTCTAAAAGTTGCTGCTCTACAGTAGGTTTCTAATTCTACAGTGGAGACCTCCGAGACAGACTAAAATGTCCCTTTTCTTAGTTCAAAACTAATTTCCCCTTTAAAAAATATATTCCGTCCCACTGTCTTAGCCTCTTTTGTAATTCCTCGAATTACTTTAACTAAAATCCAATGTAAGTCTACCTATTTTTCCTATTAACTAAGAAATATAAAACCCACCATTGTGTTGTGTATGATGGGCTTAGTTATTTCAACCGTTAAATGTCTGTTAATCTGGCATTTATAGCAAAAAAGAGTATTTCATAGTAAAAATGCCAGTCGCCAGCCAAGCGAAGCGAACAACTCGTAAGTCCAACAACCGAACCATCAACCAAGGACATATTGTTATGCCAGCTATCCTTATGGAATATCCTGAAGTTACAACAAATGTCGTCTGTGGTAATTGTTAAGTTTTTTGCTCTTGTCCTTCTTCGGCTATCCTTCTTTGCATATACGCATACACTAAGAAAGTAATTTTCAAAGTAAAATGTTTAACTTCCTTGTTAAGTTTCTACGTTCCTTGGAAAAATACAGGATAGCTCGTAGAAACGGGCTGTGTCAGCGTTGTGTTAATTCCACTCATGCGTAAGTGTCAGAGTTGTGTAAATTGTCTTTAACACACACCTCCCACCTATCCAAAAGGCTTTTCCTTCCCCCATGTAATCTTGTTAGTTCTTACACTTTTGCCCAGCAACACCAAGGAGGAATAGTCCAATTTCTGTCGTTGTTGGTGTTAGGTTCGACTGTCTAGTGGTTTATATTGTCTGAGGCATTTTACAGTTTTCTTTTGCTTTCCGTCACTTTCAGTACGACCGAACAACCGACCAACACCACAACTTTGATTGATGTCTTCCGTTTTTATGGACTAAAAACTAAACCTAAAGTTTCTTACATCGAAGACGACCGAAGAAGTTTTGGACGTCTTTGGCCGGACAGCTAGCTACCGAGCTTGCAGCACAAAATTATCCTAATGAATCGTATTTTTAGTTGTGTTTATTTTATTAAACGCCTTTAATTCGGATTTAATTTGCAAAATTGCCTATAGCACTTTTGTTGAAAATTGCAGCAACACCAAGGATTTACTGTTCTGCTGCCTTACAATTAAACTGAGGGAGCCTAAGGATTTTAATTAAAGTGAAATTCTAAAGAACAAGAAAAAGAGGAGAATAATTGATTTTCGAGAGCGGATTCGAAATAGTTTCATTAGGTTAATGAGCAGGAGGGAAAGGGGTGAGGAATTGGTATTAAGAAGATTAACTTTTAGGGAAATGTATTTACCTATAAAATTTTCGTAAATTTTTATGGAATACCTGAATTATAAATTTTTGTGAACTTCGAATGTAGTCTTAGGAGGCTTACTTTTATTTAGTAGAGGTCTCAAAAAGCAATCTAATCCACGGTAGCTATTATAAATACTCCATAGAAGAGCTTTCTTTTGAAGAATTGTTAAGGTCAGCATATCTAAAACCTATTCCTTTAAGTCCAGAACATTTGAAGGGTTGCTGAACTTTAGCAAATGCTTCTAAGACCATGCATTTTAAAGCAAACCCTCTAAATGCCAGTTAATTGCTACTCTACAAAAGAGACTTCTGAGATCAGTTACTCTACATTAGTCATCTCTAAGGGGAGTTACGAAACATCAGAGGTCTCTAATACCAGATATTCCACTCCAGGGACTTTATAGCAATATGACCAGTTACTGTACATTAGATACTTATTTGTCCAACTACTCCACTACAGAGCCTTCTAAGGTCAGCACATCTACGACATATGCCTCTAAGGCAAGAAATGGAACTTTCAGGTCATCATATCTACAACAGGGTCCTACATGATGTAGCAGTGACCTGTGAGCCCAGAGCATGGAACATCCAGGTCATCATATCATATACAACAGAGGCCTATATGACAGTGACTTGTGAACCCAGTTCTCTACAGCAGTGACCTCTAAGGTAGCTGGCCTCTATGTTCACCTTATCTACAGCAGAGGCCGTGGAGGACAGTTTCTCTCAGATAATTCGAATGCATGTTACTCTACTGAGGAGGTCTATATGGCCAACCATTCTACAGAAGTAACAAGAGACGCAGCTCTTGTCATCTGATCTGCAACAGATGATAGTAGTTACTCTGCAGAAGATACCTCTAATGTATAGTAGCTGGCCTCTGAGTTAAGCTACTTTACAGAAGAGGTCATAAAGACCAATTATTCTACATCAGATAAATCTAGTGCTTGCTACTCTAATGTGGTGTTCTATGTGACTAGCCATTCTACGACAGTGGTCAGCTACCTCACAGCATGGGCCTCTCAAGTCATTTGATCTACAACAGTGGACTATTTGACCAGTTAATTTATAGTAGTGATCCGAAAGCTTAGTTACTCTAAGGTACAACAGCTGACCTCTACATTCAACTATTCTACAGCAGAGACCGTTAAGGCCAGTTAAAACACATCAGAGAATTTTAATACTTGCTACTTTACTATGGAGGTCTATATGACCAGCCATTATAGTGGTGCAGTGGCGAGCTAATCCCATGTAAACTGATCGAAAACAACTCTAAGGTAGAGTAACTGGCCTCTAAGTTCAGCTACTCTACAGCAGAGGTCGTTGATGCCAGCTACTCTACATAAGGCAATTCTAATATTTGCTACTCTACTGTGAAGGTCAATATGGCAGCAGTTGCCAACTACCTCAAATCATCGATGTGATCTGCAACAGAAACCTATATGACCAGTTAGTGTATAGTAGTGTGCGGCAGATGTTCTCTAAGTTCAGCTACATTACAGCAGAGGCCGCTGAGGCTAGTTACTCTATCTGCATCAGATAATTCGAATGCTTGCTATTCTACTGTGGAGGTCTATATGGCCAGCCATTCTACAGAAGTGGCCAACTACCTCACCGTATAGACCTCTCAGGTCATTTATTCTACAAAAGTATCAGTAGAAGTGACCTGTAAGCCCGGCTACCCTAGAACAGAGGCCTGCTATTCTGAGGTCATATGCTCTGATTATCTACAAGAGAAACCACAAAAGCCAGATTTTAGAGACGTTCTGGTTTCCATTTGGCACACCTACTCTATTTCTGGGACCGCTGAGGCCCTTTGTAGTAAATTCCTGCAATCACATTCCCTACCCAAAAGCCACAGCTTATTGACATTCTCGTGTCCATTACGACAACTACTCTATTTCAGAGACCACCGAGTCCTGGAACTCCTGGAACTTCTCATTGTTTCCCCTTTCTGAGGCTAGATACTTTATATTGGTTAAACTAAGTCCAGCTAAGCCACTAATAGGGGCTTCATAAGGATAGCAACAATACAGCTATGACTCTACGTTTTTTGTAGTTAAAGGAATTCCAATATAGTACCCTCCTGCTATTCTCTAATGTCGTTCTAAGGCCAGTTATTCTGTGATCTGAGAGCTGTAGTAGCGGTAGACTAAACGATCTAAAGATAAAGGGCTTCTCTATAGAAGAGGTCTTATAGACCCCTAACAGATTTTCTAACATCTCATTACTGATGCTTTGCCGGATATTCTAAGGTTAACCAATTTGTAATGGATTGCGGAACTAAGTCGTATTGATATTCTGAGTCCAGTCGCTGTATAGTAGAGTACTGAGTTGTGAGTTGTCCTAGTTTAGTGAAATTCTGGTACCTCTTAGGACTGGTACTCTGGCATTCGGAGATCCGTTATATATTAATAGCCATTCTGAGGATATTTTGTTGACTTTAAAGTCCTACTAAATTGGGCTCCTTGAGCTTCACATTCTTCAATATTAGTATCCTTTTGGAGTGATATTTCTATTCTTACTCAAACATCGTTTCTACAAATCTCCACACACAATTCCGTGTTGCGGCTGAATAACAAATCTCCAATAACAATATAAATACACTATTTGTAACGATTGTTTGCAAAGGCTACAGCAACAACAAAAACAACATCACAATAAATAACCAAACCTCAGCAATAACATTTATAACAAACTCGATTGGATGGATGGTTGTTGGCTAACAAAGAAATCGAACAAAATAACTAAAAAAAAAGAAATTACGAAAATAAATAGCAAAGAATAACTCCTTGGAAGACAGACCGACCGACCTATCTCTAACTAACATTGTTAAAGTGAAGACTACTTAGTTGGGTATCTGGCATCCTTTCCGGAGGAGATAGTTATGTTTTGCAACAGCATTACCGCAACTAACTATTGTGGTGTAGACAAAACAACAGTCATTCAGTCAGAACAACAGCCACTACAACTACAAGACAATTTACACTGGCTCTCCTTCTAAGTGCTCGAAACTATTTGCCTTGGAATAATAGCAAAAAGAACCAATGCAAACCAACATTGCTGCCAATATTGGCTAACAACGGAAACGTGGAAACAATCTTTTACATTTTAACCAAGACACAGTCTCGTTTACGCACACAGCCACACCATCCATACATTGTTAATAGCCTGCACCACACACACACACAATGCCAAGGAAATGCAATCAAATTGAATTTCCTGGTTATTGACTGGTTGGTTGAATGGTTGGCCCTACAAAGCTTATTGTGTCCATGCAACTTGTGGCTTTTTTGCTCTTCGCCTCCTTCCTTCTCTTCCTCTTATTTCTCTATCGATATTTATATGCATCCATAACTATTGTGGTTTTGTTTATTTGTTTTAAGATTTGTTTGTTAGCATCTAATAACATTGTCCTTTTTTTTCTTCTTACAGTTGCCTGGTTTACCTTCGATCCTGTTCTCAGCGGTGGCCCCGGCTCCGGTCTAATCTTTAGCAATAATAATGCCACCGTCTCTGTCGAGGGCTGGGAGCATCGTGTTGCCTTAGGTTCCGTCGGATTCTCACGTGGCATTCACTATTGGGAATTTACCATTGACAATTATACAGCAGACACGGATCCGGCATTTGGCGTGGCACGCATCGATGTTAATCGCAATAAAATGTTGGGTAAGTAAACTTAAAAGGGATAATATTTATTTACATGGGATACGAGATTGTGTGTTTGATATGACGCAAAAAAGGGCATTGGATATTGATAAAGGATAATTGTTTGAAGAAGGATACAAAATAATAAACCCTTTTTTAAAAAAATTAAGACGATAACCTAAAGCTTCAGGCAAAGTCTAGTTTATTAATAAACAAAACTTCTAGAATGCCTCTAACTACAGAGCTGATGTCCTCACAGACCATAGTTACAAAGTAGTTGGTTTCCGATGTCACTTGTACAGGGAAGCTTGCTTAGGGACCTAAATGCAAAGGGTACTGTTAAAACAACTTCTTAAGCTTATCGATGTTTATGTTTCACCGAGGACAACTTATTGAGGAGAATAATAAACAAATGATTCCCGTCTTGGGTCTACTATCCTACGATCTGAGATGTTCTTAGTATTTGATTCCTGAAATGTAATTCTCTACAACAGATACCTCAAAGGACAGATATTAGTGAAGTTCTGGTGGCCATGGCGACGCATGCTCTATTTACGAAACCACTGAGGTCAGGAACTCCTTGCATTTGGCCTTTTTCCCCTCCTGAGGTTAGATACTCTCTCTTGGGTCAACAATTCTTCGATCAGATTTTCTACCACAAAAGCCAGAGATTGGTGGCATTCTGGTGTCCATTACGAGAGCTACTCTATTTCAAGAACCAGGGCCCCCTTTTTCCCTTTCCTGAGGCTATTGTTTAAATATAAGTCCAGTTAATGGGGGGCTTCCTTTGGTTAACAATTCTAAAGCTATGATTTCAAAAGCCTTTAACTAGAATTTAAAGTTTCTATAATATAATCACATCCAGAACTCAGCTATTCTATAGACTATAGTAGCGGTCTACGGAGGCTAAATAGTATCTCCTTAGGAAAGGTTTTATACACATTCAGAAACGATTGAATGTATGTTATTCAACTATGGAATAATTCAACTCATTAGTAAAGGGCTTCTGAGTTCAGATACTCTATAGTAAAGTAGAGATGTTACTAAGGGTCATGGTGACCTCCTTTTCCCATTTTTTGCATATTTGGGCTATGTTTTCTGTAATAGGGTTTCTGTGTTTATCTCACCTACAATTGATCTTAGACCAGTTCTTACTCATGACCCCACCATACTACATTTCTGATCAAATAACCAATCTCTGATACGGTGCTACATAATAGTAGAGATCTCGGAGACCATCTGATTTGTATTAGTAACTTCGATAGCAATGCTGATCAACATAGTGCTCTGGTGTGACTGTCACGTATCCATCATTTATTTTAGTTGATTCTCCCTCCCAACATCTGATATTTTATTTTGATATCTTATCTGTTCGGACGGTATATTCGCAACAGTCATTTATGCCAGCTATGGTAAAATTATGATGGGTGAGAATGCTAATCTGAGGACAGTTATTAGGGAAGAATGAAAGAATGACCACCTGAGGACCATTTTGAATAAAATATGCTCTCTGTTACTGCCTACGTAGGTTATTTGCTCTAGTAATACCCTGGTAGTATAAACAGTTTTCTTATATAGTGATGATATCTGAGAGGAGCTCATCTATAGTAACGACCCCGGAACAGACTATCACAGAATACCTGTAGCCTTCTGTGGTCTGCCACTCGTTAGAATAGTCATCTGTTACCTCTGAGGGTGGTCCACGGTAGTTCTCTTTTGATGCCATATGTTTTAATATTAGTGGTACTCGGCAGTACTTATCTTCTGAATTCAGTTACTATATAATCAAGGTAACTTAGGACAGAATCCCTGTTGTCAGCAAGGACAGTTTATTTGTAGTTGAGTACCAAATCACTAAAGCTACTTGGTCTTGTCTTCCGTGGTCTGCTACTCTTTAGAAGCACCATCTATTACCTCTGAAGGAAGCTACTCTGGCATTTTAGACCTCGGGGCATCTTAGGACTGGAACTCTGTTGTCAGCCTGACTAGTTAATCTATAGTTGTGCCGTTCTAGAATCAGATACCTATTCATTGTCTTCCTAAGGACAATTTATTTTTGTTAGTGGATACTGAGATTACTTTCAATTAAATATCTTGTATTTACCTTTGAAGCCAGACCGCTAAATATATTGTTGTAATCTTTGGATCAAACTATTCCATATTAATCACCTCCTGATGCCAACTCTGTTGAAGTAGTTAACTCTAAGGCTGAAACCCTTTGGTATCCTGAGGTCAACTACCCTTAAGACATGGCGTTTTGTTACATCTAAGCTCTATTGTCTGCAGTTGGCGATTAGTGTGGAGTATAAAGCTACAAATAGTAATCTATATAGGAATCCATCGATTTATCGACCTGACCTCAACGGCAATCAGAAGGCAACTACTAAAAGCTAGCTGGGTACTACTAGAAGTTAAATATCCTCAGAATCAAGTTATTTTCTTAACATGTCACCAATATAATTTTGGAGGTGGAGACTACAACGAGAGAGAATTCGGCCTTTATGGTCGCTCTCTCATATGCTGTAGTATCCTGAGGTCAGCTACTCTCTACAAGTGGGGTTTTGTTACATCTGAGGATATATACTGTCGAAAAACACCTGCAAATAAAAGGACCCTCGGTAACACCTCATTTTTTTATATTGCGTCTTCTTAAAAGAGTGTCCGTGTCATAGTCCATTGTCCTGATGTCTGCTGGTTAAATCTGAAGTCAGAGACCTTAAAATCCAGATGATTCATATTATTAAATATATATTTTTCTGAACTTTGTAAGACACTATGACCTTTTGAAGACGTTTACCATCCAGTTGAAACTATTGAGGATATTTTGCCCCACTATGGGTAGTAGCTTTTTAATTAGAAAAAAACTCATAGTAACTGTGTATCAGGTCAGATATTTTAAAGTTTTGGATTCGGACTATTGCTGTAGTTGTGGCTTTAGGTAGCTTATAGTAATTATTAGTGGATTCAGATGCCAGATGTTCTTCCCTTGCTTTCTTTTACATATTACATACATCTCATACCACCTCTGATGGAGTGCTCTGAAAAGCTTCTGGCTACCTGATCTTTGAGATCTATAGTAGTAGTTAATTCTAAGGCCAGTTACTGGATTTTAGTGATATAAATCGGCTATTACTTATTGAGATATAGATATCAGATATTTTATGAATTGATTGGTAGATCAATGAAGTAGGGTTTACCTAGATCATATTTGCTTAAAGAACTGGTTGAGCAGCTCTCAATTAGACCCTATCAAATACATTTCTTATAAAATAGACTTTTAGAATCTCATACCAAAATTCCTTAATTTTTTTGTTTTGGTTTTGGAAATGAGCAACACCCTGCTTTCTTTTAATATTTTCCTGCGAATAAAAAGTTGTTGATATGTCGTATAATTTCATACCGATGTTATTCTGCTGTTATTGTCTTGTTTTACTCCTCTTTTACTTTTGTGCAGCATTTGACACGTGTTAACGTTTTGCCTCTGCTGCTGTTTCATCTAACGCGAAGTTTTTAAATTAAAATTTCATAAGACACTGCAGTAGAAATTCTTCTAAAAAAACTAACTTTTGTTATTTCATTGTTGGTGATGTGTGTTGTGCGGGAGCGCTCCTCCTTCCTATGTTACTGACACTGACACTAAAAATCCAACAGCAACACCAAAATGCAATGAACAAAACTTTTCCTAGTCTGCTTAATGTTTCAAAAAGTTGTTGTTTGTCGGTTTGAAATTGTAACATTGTTAGCGGGAAGTTTTTGCAGATTTTCTGACTTATTTTATGGTCACAGAGGGAGATGTGTGAGGGAGAGGAAGAGAAGGATTGGGGAGGTATTTTAAGAAATATAAATCGAGGTCGATGAAAAGGAAAGATTGGGTCTTCAGAATAGTTTTATGTTCGAATTAAAATAATCGGATTTGAAGCCTAAAAGAAAATCTACGCTTTCGATTGTTCACGATTTTTAAAAAAATAGGTGCTTCTGATAGTCCTTGAAAATAATATGTTTTAAAAATCCTCGGTCCTGATAATCCATAAAAGGAATATGTTTCAAAATAATATATATATATATATATATATAATTTTATTCCATGGTTCTGAATGTCCAAATACCTTTAGAAGACTAGTGGATTTTTATATTTTGGATATTTCAAAAATATCAAAATTTAATTTTACCTTTCCAAACTAAAATGCCCACCTCTGACAAATTCTTTTACATTCCCAATTTTGTTGTTCAAAAAACAAAACTTCCCGTCAAACGAACACTCCACTTGTGAACGTGATGACTGACTTTTCGTTAAAAGCTTATGGTAGAAACAATCATGTATGCGTGCGTATATACTACAACCTCCTATGAATGTGTCAGTATTCCTTCTGAGTAGGTGCCATCCTCCATAGTGGTTGGTGGTGATGGCGGTACGTGTTTCGCGTATTTTACCACTCAACAACAAAAAATTAACTTTCAACTTTTATCCTTCCCGCGCTCTCGATGTGTAATACATTCGAATTGCATTTTCCGCGGCAGAGTGAAAACTTTAACATTTACTTAGGATTTATTATAGAGGGGAACATTTTCAAAAATAAAAACTTTCTTACACCAGTTTGCTTAATTCAAAAATTACATTTGTTGTAGTTTAGTGAGAATTTGAAAGGGCCGCGCTGTTATCCTAGTTTGCTGTGCGTGCAGATGATTTTGAAAGAATCATGAAGTTAGTTGCGATAACAGATAACTTTATTTTTATATGTCAGCTACAATGTGTAATAGAACTTGCAAAACTTTTCTAACTTTATCTCACTCAGTGATACCTGTAATTTTTGGATATGATTGCTGTAGGAAATTGTTTTATACATGGTGTTAGTATTTTCGTTTAGTTGGTTAATACACTTTGGTAAACTGTTTTATGTTGTAAAAATATTTAAAATAACATTTGCTGGGTAAGAAGGTAAGTGTCAGCATTTTTATAGTTACAAGTGAGTGTAATTTATACAATATTCTTTAAAAAATCCACACCATGTTTGGCTACTTGC